ATCGTCTTCATTTTATATCTCTATATCCTTATATAAATCCAAACTATAATGTAATGCAGGTGCATACTATGCTTGAAATCATTGAAGTTTTTCAAATTCTATTTTCCGTCATTTTATCAATTGCTTCCTTTCGAGCGAGTTTCTTTGGGTAAATTTCAATAGGTACGAGATTTTATACCAGAGCCATCCGCCATGTTCGCCAAACACGCGATTCTTCGGAAGGTCAACCGCCGGAACTTCAAGACCCCCGACCTGCGCACTTCCTTCACAAGGACCACCGCCTTTCGAAGGGCCGATACGATCAAAATCAAAACGACCGATGGTGAGGTGGTGCAGGGACGGGGCCGGATCCGGCGCCGCACCCACAGCGACCTGAAGTCCGCGATCGACGCCATGGAGCACCCGGCGATTTGGCTGTGGTACCCTTGGCGTAAAAACCCGGAGCCGCCGACGCCCTACATGCCCTCCCGTCGGGCCCTCAAGAACGTCCACGGCGCTATCTTCACCAACCTCACCCCAATCCAGCAGAAAAAGCAGGAGCAAATGCTCTACGGCGTCAACATCCCCGCCACGCGCGAGATGCGGTTCACGCAGGAGCACCCGATGCTCGCGCAGGCCCTGCACCGGCTTCAGGGCCAACCCGTGGGGTTCCCCTTTTGGTACCGAAAATACCCCACCCGGCGCCACGCCTACGAGCGGCGGTTTAGCCTCCCGGCGGAGATGCTCGAGGCCTCCCCCCCTGCCGTCCGTGAGGCCGTTTCGGGGAAGATGATGAGCCTGCGGGAGAAGCAGTTCGTGCAGGAGGCGATGTATATGGAGCGCTACGCCGAGCACGACTTCGACACCACCAGCCCCGCCGTGTTGGCGGTGAAGCGGGGGCTGAAGATGCGCGTACTGCGGAACCACCTCTTGACGAACCCGCATAATAATATTATTAAGGTGGTGTTGGCGAATACTGAGCGCAAGCTCGCGCACGCGCTTCGGCGGCTGCGAAAGGTGGATTTCCGGCGCTATTGGGAGATCGTGCGGGACCACGACGTGCAGGACGTCCTGCAGCCCGCCAACCTCGTGACCTATCGCTACGGGAGCTACTGGCACTACGACTGGAACGCCGGGCTCGCGATCAGCACGAACCTGCCCGACGTACTCGACCCGCGAGGCCTCAACGGCTGCGTGGAGACTGGGCGCTCGCGTAGCGAGGTCGCCCGCGATCTCGGCCTCTCCTACACCCGCCCTTTGCAGAATAACGAGAAGAAGCAGCTCGCCCAGCAGGCCATCTACTATGAGCGGCTCGCGAAGTTTAAGCTCGAGCAGCCCCAGGCCGCGAGAGAGCAGGAGCGGGAGCGGTTCGTGCGCAAGTTCTCGGGCATGTTCTTGAAGTTGGATATTAAGTCCGGCGCACCGGACTTCCCGAGTACCTATCGTAAGCTCCTGGGAACAAAGGTGATACGATGGGCTTCAAAGCGGCACGGTCCGATGTAGTATCGTGGCCTAATAGGAGAGAAATCGTTCTCTAATCGAATGAAATGCCGTAGAATCCGATTTGGAGCCTGTGTTTAGTTTCTCTTCCGCGTTATATCCACTGCTTCACAACTGGTTAGAACAAGCGTGGGTTGAAGAGGAAAAGGGCACAACGTCTGGAAGTTGTGGGTCAATTTTACACTCAATAGTTTTCTTTCACTGAAGAAGCGTGGAGAGGCGAGGATGAGGGACTTTTTTGTTGTTCTTTTAGTGGTGTTATTATCATTTGTTTGATGATATCACTATTAATATATTGTGGTCCATCTGTTTTAGGCTTCTTGTGTGGGTCTATGACTGTGCTCATGGAAAATTCAAAACTCAAACACATTTAATAAGCATTTGTGAAGCCTTCCCACCTCTTTTTTTTTTGAAATCTGAGACCCTTTTTTTTTAACGTTGCATCTTTTTCTCCCCCGTGGACCTTGTTTTGATTTTATTACTATTAATAATCGATATTCGTTTTAGTAGAGACAATACAAATCGAAACTAGTCTGTAGAAGGCACTTTCACTAATGGGCTACACACGTGAGCGCACGAATCGGCATTTCTTTGTCGCGCGTGCGAATGCATTCTTCTCACGTCTCCCCATTCCCCTCATTCAGAGGTCAATGGCCATGGATGCTATTAAGAGGGGCTATATGAAGCCGTGGAAATATACCAAGGAGCAGATCCTCGGCTCACCCATTACGTGTACTTTTGATTATAACCCAAGGCCAGTGCGGCTTATTGGTACGGTGATGGATGCTCATACCGAGGAGACAAGTATCAAAGGGGGACTGAAGGTCTACGCACGAAATGAGGAAACAAACATGATGCTTTGGATCCCTGCCGGAAATCCTAAGCTGAAATACGAAGTAACATCCTCGAAGGGAAGTTTTCAACATTATTTGAACGAACGGGATAAATGGGATGAGGCGTGGCTGACAGGGCGTGCACGTATTAAGTAGAAGGCACCAAATGGGTTGTGATGGTGTAGAAAGAGAGTGGCAACGTGAAGTTTTTCAGGTATCACAGGGGCAATGTGGCGTATTACTCGTGCATTTACTCTTTACATACGAATAACAAACTAGATGAAATTCATATAGTTTAGTGAAAAGTCTTGAAGCTGATACTTTTATCATTTTCCCCCGTTCTTTTATTATTATTATTGGTACTTGATCCATTTGTGTAAACTTATGCCTCAGCCAAAGTTATGCGTGAGGAGGAAATTAACTCGTACGCGCTGTAAAGAAACTTTTTCTGATTAAAATAATAGGTTTTATAATAATACAAACATACACACTCCCAGACACAAACCGATACAAAATGCCAGAGGCAACGGTCATGCAGTTAATGGAGATGGATATGGTACAAGGCATGTACGATACCTATGTGTCAATTAGCACCGATCCGCCAGGCTATTCGATTCTCTTAGCACCCACGGCGGACGACCCTCCAGAGTTGAAGGTTACGGTGACTTACCCCACCGAAGAGTACCCGGAGTCCGCTCCTTGCAATATTGTTGTCGAGAACATTTCAAAAAAACGGCGTATTCAGACCGCTAACCTCACTAAGGAAATTGAGGCTACTTGCATTGAAAACATAGGCGTTCATGTGGTTGTGTTGGTGCTGCAGCAAATCCAAAGTTTTCTCACGACCGATGCGCAGGAGGCTGAGAAGGCCGAACTGATCCGGCGTGGGGAAACAATGAATAAGATTGCCACACAAAATAATAGTGTGAAGCATGACCCTACAATTACAGTAGGAACTGCCGTAACCAAGGAGCTTTTCGAAGAATGGAGCTGCAAACATCATGCAGAGAAGGAGATGTTATACGCCGAAAGGTCAAAGGGGGAGCAAAATAATAGTAGCAATAATAAAGGCGTTGGTGCTGGTGGGGCTTCGGCGAAACTCACTGGTCGGCAGATGTGGGATTCAACATTGAGAAACACCGATTGGCAACTCTTTGGTGATGCCGAGGATGGCGATGAGGATGTGGACTTCGAGATTTTTGATTCGATTAATGAGGATGACTTTGCCTTTGATGAAGATGAGGAGTCGTAAGACATCGGTATCGATGAGACACGAACCTTTTCATCTCTACAGTTTACGAGACAAAAGAAGCCAGAATGTGCGCATTCACAAAGTTTTGGAAGTTAAATGCGTACTCTTCCTGTTAGTCATGAGTAAAGGTAAACCAAACGCTAAGAAAACCTGCCATTTATGGGTAGTCTTCACGAGCAAACTCTTTTGGTATGAAAAGCTTACAATTAATTTCAATACCACTTTATTTCATCTCTCTCTCTATATTCTGCTAATTTTAATACCACCCGGATGTATGTGTATATGAAGCAGATACCCTCAAAAACTTAAAAAATTAGCAAAATACTTTTATGGGCATCCTTCTTAATGGGGCTCTTGCGGAGTGTTATTCTCAGCAGCAGTGGCCTGGCTAAGCGGCATCGCTATGATCGGATACCGATTTTATTTACACCTTATCTGAAGCATCAATATTGTATGTATAGCACCATAAAAAGTGGACATGATCAGCAAAAGGAAAGCCTTTTCAATAAATTAGGCTTCCCAGGTGATAAGGGGGATCAGTGCATTCAACGCCCCTTCAACGACTTTGAAGCGAGTTTTGTTCTACAAGCCGAGAAGCTTCGTGACCCTGTGAACGACCCCAAGGATCAGGCACGTCTCGAAGAGCTCAAAGAAGCCTATTTGCTCCTGCGTGATGACAACTTCCGCCGCAATTATGCGAGTCACCATTACAGCTCGAACGACGCCCAGCTCCATGTTCTCCAGGACGGCGGCGAAATCGCGGTGAACTTCAACCCCGAACATCAAGAGTTTGACTTGGTCGATCACTCGCTTCGCCAGGGCGTCGAGTCGGGGGGCGATGGCGGACTTGAGATCGGCGGCAATTGTGGGGCCCCCGTGGTGCGGTCCTTTGGGGATTTTCAGGAGGCCTTTCGCCACGCGATCGGGATGGGGCGGTCGACGCCGTCAAGCCGGGATGTTCGGCCGCACCACGCCGCGGAGGCCAAGGCGGCGGTGCCCGGGGCGCATATCCCCTTTTTGCTCAAAATCAGCTTCGAGGAGGGCCTGATGGGCTGCACAAAGGTCATTGAATACCCCAAGAACGTCCGCTGCGGGCGCT